TGTAGGATTCAAATTCAAGAGCTCTGGCCATTGCATCCTGCATAGTAGAGTGGTGTGCTTGCTTTACTTGTATCTTCAGTTGTGAACTGTCCAAGGCGTTTACAAACTGATCCCTCAGCAACAACTTGAGGAGATCGGGTGGTGCAGTTGGGTAGGCCTTGTATGCCATACTTCCCAAATCCTGTGCCAGCTCTTGCAGGCTCTCCCCTTTAGCACGGACTCTCATCCTAAACCTAGTCCTGTAGACTTCAGACTGATTTTGGGTTCCATATCTGAGTTCTAGAGCAGCTACTAGTGCTCTATAGTTGTGCCTGTCGTTTGCTGACAACTATCCAAGTAATTCCAGTGGTTGTCCCTTCAAGCTCGTTGCAAGATACACTGCTTTCTGCTCCCCTGTCCATCCATTCATCTCTGCCAAGAGCTCAAATTGTGCTTTATATACTTCCCACAGTGCCATCGAATTCCCGTGGCTTCCTTCATACTAGATCACCGCTATTGCTGACACTCATATCTGGAATGTGACTTTGGCAGGACTGAAGATGTTTGTATTAGGGTTTAGCTGCAGGGTCTGGAAGAGGTTTCCTGTTGTCTGGGGCTGATTAGGTCCATGGTTAATATATCCTCCATGTGTAAAAGACAGTAAATCGTCCATTAATGTATTTAATTCACTTAGAAATTTACTAATGCTTTCCATTTGTACATCTTGCCACTGTTGTTGACTTTCCTGCAACTGTTGGAGACTTTCATCCTCTTCCTTTCTTGTTCCAGTTGCCACTGCTGTTGTCTCTCTTCTTGTTTCTTATCTTGTTCTTGTTGTTTCTTTTCTTTTCCTCCAACAACTGCTGTAATCTCTCTTGTTTATTTTGCTGTTCTTGTATTGCTGCCGTAAGATCTGCTAAGCTGTAGTTTGGTTTGCCACTTCTCGTTTCCATCTTCTTCTTTTTTTTATTTTATCCCACTCTCTGACACCAACTTTTTATGTATCTACTTGTTCGATAATTTCT